AGAATTTTGTTTCTCATATGAAATCACATCTACCTCCTTGTAATTCTAGACGTTATTTTTATTTTTGGCCTCTGCAGTGACACAGAGTAGGCCTGTATTTCAGTTGACAATGTCGTAATGACTTGAGAATTGCAACATGTCCCTGTTCAAGTTCCTTCACCAGACCAAATCCCTGGAGTCTTCCGAACAGCCACCCTCACTAGACTATATCTGGGCATCGTCCAGTTCCTCAGGATTTAACCCAATTTGCCAGTGGGCCTTTACAGCTAGATTAAGTTTCTACTAAAAGAATATTTTTTTTGGTCTAACTCCTTTTGGGCTTGATTTGTGTTTTATTTCTTTTTTTCAGAGGAGGAAAAAAACCCTGCCCTTCCATCAAACCTGTTTCTTTGAAAGGAAGGGTTACGTAGCTCATTTGGGATGAAGACATTTTGTGAGCTGGCACTAAATGACCGTTCCTCGTGCTAGTGTTAGGTGGTGCGAGCGAAGATCAAGCAATGCTTACGTCATTGCACAGACAAAACTAGGGGGAGTCAGCTTCGAGCTGGTGCAAAAATATTTTATTGCATGCACACCTTTACCAGTGGAAATAGTAATTCCCAAAACATGTGCGGGTACCTGCTGGGGAAGAAGGAGGATGGTCACGATACAGTCTGCCACAGCTGTCCGTAGCCCAGTAGGGAACTACAACGTATTAAGTGGAAAAGCCCCAACACTGGGAAGCTGCAGGAGGCAAGAGGGGCAAAAATGCAAGAAGAACCTGGCACAGTGGCTCACACCTGTAATCCCAGCACTTTGGGAGGCCAAGGCAGGAGGATCGCGTGAGGCTAGGAGTTTGAGACCAGCCTGGGCAACATATCGAGACCCCATCTCTACTAAAAATAAGAAAAATTAGCCGAGCATTATTGCATGTGCCTAACCCCAGCTTCTTAGGAGGCTAAGGCAGAAGGATCACTTGAGCCCAGAGTTCAAGGTTATAGTGAGCAATGATTGCACCATTGTACTCCAGCCTGGGCAACAGAGCAAGACCCTATGTCTAAAACAATAAAATAAAAAATGCAAGAAGATAGCTCCATTAACTGAAGCTAATTCTTGGATGAGGCAGGAAAGGACACAAAGGAGACTACAAGCTGGAGGTTAATGAGAGTTCTCCTCAATGAAATTCGGACAACACAGTATTTAAATGCCCAGACACAGGTTAACCATTTAGAAAAAGACTTACCTTTAGGAAGTGCAGTTAAGAGCTTAGTATCAATTCCTCTTTTGTGGTTAGCAAATTGTTCTTTCTCTTCAAGTGAGAACT